AACAGTTTGTCACAGCCCCTCGTTTGTTGTCCTCTTCTCCTTCTCCCTCTCTGCCTACGGTTTACCGTAGGCAGTTCTATTTGTGACGATATATAGCTTGAACCAAACAAATAAAAATTTTGACTTTTTTAGGTTATCCTGGGGTCTAAGAAACACTACGTTTGGCCCTCTCCGAACGGTTTTTCCTATAGCACCATCAGCCACATGAGCACCCTCTTCCCTAACCATAGCAGCCAGTGCATGAACTCCCACTCGCGCCGCCAAAAGGAAACGTCTTTGTGGAAGCTCTTCCTCTCGACACTCTTTTCCATGCCAATGTCACTGCGTCTGCATGTTGTCATTGCTCTTTGTCATCCAGCAAGTTTTTTCTATATTTTCTATTTCAGACGTTATCACTAGTTCCCTAATCGATGTCTGTGATTTTGCCCGTAGGAATCCACTATTTGCTTAGCAAATGGTTAGAAATTATACTCCTGCGAGTCGTTTTTTCCTAGATAACCGGATTAACCGCTTGCCCAACCCAAAATGGCACAACACCTTGCACAAGTCCTCATCCGATGGCTGCAAAATAACAAAATTTCCTTTCTCAACCTGCCAGACTATGCCAAAACTTGTCCTTGGACAATTTCTTTTTATGTCTACCAAACAAGGGATCGCTTTCTTTCGATTGTTCAGAATCAAAGCGCGACTTTCCTTCCTCGCACCGCTTCACGGCAGATAGTCAGAAGCACGACATCGACTCATTGGTATGGAGGGCACTCCTTTTGTGAGCATCTCCGCTCCATGTTCTTTTTCACCCCCTTCCAGCGAGAACTTGCACTTTCTATACAAGCTAACTCTATATCTCGTTAAGTACTCCTATCAGCTCCATGTCTGCTCTTACCAGCAGCACTAACACTGGTGGGGGAGTTTCAGAAAAAAATAAAAATAAATAAAAAATCCTATCAGCTCCATGGTATGGAGTTCAACCTATTTTTCTTTAAATAGGTCTAAGAAAAAACGGTCCCCGCCTGCACATCCGTTATTGTAATAAACTAATACATTAATAATTATTATAATTTATAATAATCTAGAATAGTTGGTTGAACAGGAAGATGTTCGAATGTCAGCACCGGGGCGGTATACTTGCCAATATCATCTTTTTCAAACTAGTGAAGTGGGCCGTCTTTGGGAAACCATTCCGGCTCCGCGCAAAACTCTTTATACGATATAACTATTACCCAGCATATAAAATTTGGGCAAATGTTGCTTAGAAATACCGATTATATCCTGTGAAAGATATGGAGACACCAAACTTTTCCAGTTCACAGAATTTCATAAAAAAAGATATACTTTGAGAGGGTTCTTGTGAGACTGTCCTAACAATGCGGAAAATTCATCCATGGTATACGCAATCATTGTCTTTAACTTCTTCGGAAAAAAACGCTGCAAGTGGGATTCGAAGGTGGATTGACAAGGTTTCACCTATCTGATTCGTGGTTGGGAGGCTTGTTGACACACATCTTCTGAATGTTTCTGAGTTTTCCTTTTTCTTCGATTGTTCTTAGCCGAAGCCGGGTAATGGCCCCTGTAGCTCAAAAAAAAAAAAAAAAAAAAAAAGTTGTGTGTGTATGACCGACTATCATGAAGCCCATTTCTTGCCTTGGATTTTCACAAAACAGCCAAACTTGCATCTCCCTTCCTAAATGCTTATTTTTTTGAGAGAGCAGGAGGAATGACAAGAGCAAAAATGGGAAGATAAAAACAAAATAATAGAAGAGGGTTTAACTCCTCTTCCACCCATAACCTCAACGCTCTCCCGAGTGCCACATACCGAGGAAAGCTACCTTCTTCTTTACCACCGTTCAGAGTCATAAACTTTCTATTTGTCGCCTCAAATATCCACAACGGCGGACAATAGACATCCTCAACTGTTAGTTCCACTTCGGGGGAGGTGATGTCGGCAATAGACAAACAAACTGTCAAACAATAGACAAACAAATGTCTTTCTTTTTTTTCTTTTTTTTTCTTTTAAGTTTTAACACAACCTGGGCGGATGCTAGGAGTGCTGATATGAGCAGGCACCCCTAGCACCTCCTGGGAGGCTCATCCACAACGTCGGACAATAGACAAACAAACGGTGGGACACGTTTTGATTACTCTTGACTTCAGTAAACACTAGCTTCCTGTACCCCTCCCAAACCACGGTTTTTCTCTGTTTTCCCCTCTTGCCTCGTCTATCATTTATTTCATTATCTGGTTCAGGGTGGGTTGCATGTTGGCGATAAGTGACGGGATGGATAGCTGATTGGGTAGTAGTCGATATGGGAAGGGCAGCTTTTGTCTGCGATAGTATACAACGCTCTGCGGCTTACATATCGTATTGGGACCTCCACTCCACTAAAAAACACTTGAACCTTATCCGGACCTTCGACACGCTCCTGATACACTCTAACTCAAAATGTTCCGTTCCGCTGGTTGTAATGTGTCTGGACTCTGGATCATTTGCAGAGTCAAAGGACTCCAAATGCGTTTCGAATGTTATGTAGTGGCAACAAAGGAAGTTGGCGGAGAGCGGTGGAGGTAGCTGAGCAAAGTACACTGGACGGGGTTATGATTCTTATGAAACCCATCAAGACAACAGCAGGGGTATGAGAGAAAAGCAGGGCAGGACTACGAGAGACACTACCATGCCTTAAACATAGTCAGCTGAGCAAACATGAATAGGCAGGAACACATGGGAAGTGTAGGCATGCCTAGGCCTCATCGTCTGCAATTTCTATTTTTTCTCTCCTTTAACCACTAGTACCTTTGCCGCTTCAGAGAGGAGGGAAAACGCCCATTCCAAAAGGATTCGGAGGCCGGGCCAGATGACGGCTGCCATTGATAAATCTAATGATGACCGTCGTTTCGCTTCGGCCACCTGAAAGATCGGAGGGCCGTTATTTTCCGAAGTGATAAAGGCACTGGTGTTTTAAATTCGTGAACACAGAAAGAACTGTGATGAATGATGAGTTTCTTCATGGACTTCCATTTGGCGGAGAAGACACACAACCCCCCCCCCCCCCCCCCCCCCCCCCCCCCCCCCCCCCAAATATGTCCGGCGAGCCCTGACCTTACCGACCCCCAAATCGCTTGTCCAGATAGATACCAGCAATTGACTGACGCCGTTTATCCCCCCATGCAAACGGTGGAATCGTTTCGGGCACCGCATATCTTCTTCCCTTTCATTCCCTCCCTTTGTCTCGCTTACACTGGCCGATTCTCTGCAGTGGCAAGAGACCTGCCTGATCGTGCAGGCATCCACTGCCGATGCTGATAATGCTCACCAAGTCCGTGCTGAAACTCACATATTCTAGAAGTTCAAGAGTTTTGAGAGAAAGACAAAACTTCCAAGAATATGAACACTGGAAACAATACAGTTATCCAAAGGCAACAAAAAATGTCAAAACCCCTAAACAAAGAAACCTTTTTTCCTTACACCCATCATGACAAACGCCCACCCTCTCCTCCCCCTCTCCCCCCCTCCTGAGTCAGACGCATGGCTAACATATTTCTCTTCCCGGGGAAAGCCTTCGTCAATCCACTTTCAGCCCTCCGCATATATCCCACGGTACCGTCAATAAAACTTCCTTGTCAGCAGCACCTTTCAGTGAAGACTCAAACCCGTTGCCTCGTCGTCCTTTTTTCTCACCGCTGTATATTCAGGTCTTTCCCCAACACCCATCGCTTTCTAAAGAGAAAAACAAGAGGAAGAACAGCCAACTGGCAATTACCCAATGATGCTCCGAAATCGCTTGTCCTTGGGTTTGACATACAGCAGAGAGCCTGACACGAGTCCTGCCAAGCTTAGAGAGGACAAAGCTGGTACTTCAAGCTTAGAGAGCTCAAAAAATCCAATCAGTACCCACCAACGCATCCTCGCCTTCTATTTGGTTAGGTCCTCGAAGAGAGGACAAAGCTGGTACTTCAAGCGAGAAGTGAGCAAGAATGGCGAACGCCAGTCGAGATCCTGCTCCTCCATAGAAAACCCCCTTGAATCCCAAATACGACTGCCCGGTGGCACCTGGTGCGGCTGCCTCTCGGCACACACCAGATGCTGACGACAGCTCTTCTCATAGAGTGTCAAGTGTCCATCAAAGAGCAGAATTCTCCCTCCCTTCAAAACAAGAAGCCACAACATTTTTCTTTCTCGCAAATAATGAAACAATGAAAGGGGGGGCGGAGGGGGAGGTGGAGGACGGGGGCCCAGGATTCTATCATTGTGAGGTGGTAATATTCCCTCCAGCTGCCACCACAGCAAACACAAGTACATTCTTTCTGGGCTGATAATCTGTGACAACACCTTCGGCTATAACCCTTCAAAGTCCTTAAGGCTATAACCCTTCAAAGTCCTTAAGGCTATAACCCTTCAAAGTCCTAGGGTTACTAAACACCACGAGAGTGGACACACACGGGCGCACGTCAGAAAGACGCTTTCCTGTTGGAGGGGAAGAAAAGAGCAGTCACGTTGCTCAGACCCCCCCACTGGAAACATCCCTTCCCGTTGAACATAACCCAATATAAACACAGAGCTCCCTGGACCAGAAGGGAAGAGAAGAGCAACGTGAGGGAGCTCTGTGGATGCAAAAAGGGATATCCGCAAGAAGGATAGGTGGATGCAAAAAGGCACGTGGCCTCTCGCAAAGGGAAGAGAGGAGCAACCAAATTGCGCATAACCCAATGGAGACATAGCTCCCCGCAGAAGCTACCAAGCCAGGACACTTAGCTGCTCAGAGGGAATCACAGAGAGCACACAAAACCGACCAAATTGCGCATAACCCAATGGAGACATAGCTCCCCGCAGAAGCTACCAAGCCAGGACACTT